ACAGGGTCTTGTGTGCTGAGGAAGAGTAGAGACAGAGGGTCCTATGTGCTGAGGAAGAGTAGAGACAGAGGGTCCTGTGTCCTGAGGAAGAGTAGGGACAGAGGGTCTTTTGTGCTGAGGAAGAGTAGAGACAGAGGGACATGTATACTGAGCAGTGTTTAAATACGTAAACAAAACAAGTCTGGAGTGCTTTTGCTTCATTAAAAACTAGTTCTCATCTTTTGAACAGATGGGTGGGGGGAGTCAGTAATCAGCCGGGACCCTGTACTACATTTTGGGTTCCGGATTTCCTCTCCCTGAGGCGAGGGGAATTAGGAGCAAAGGGTGTCCACTGTGGGACGGTCCCGTACAGTGTCAGTCCCACCAGCTCGGAACCGCTGTGCGGACAGATCAGTTTGGGTCATTTCTTCAAAAAAAGACGGTCGCACCTGGGCAGGAACAAAACTGAGACCCGTCGAGACAGGTCCCATCCGGCTTGGCAAAGAGGGGGGTCGATTAACCTGAACAATTAGGAATCGGTAGGATTGAAAGGCAGAAGACGGGGTCGAGCCCCGAGAGGAGGCGGGCTTCAGACATCCCTGGAGCAGCTGGCTGAAATTGTAAAGGCTGCAGTGTTTGCGCTCAGAAAGTCCGGGACGTTAAGGAGCAAAGGACACTGCTTGCTTGTCCAGTGTTGCGGGCGTAGTTTGGGTTAAAGGGGGATTTTACCTCAGCGCTCCAGGCACAGGTGTGAAAGCTTAGAGACGGACACTTTAAAGCACAACGATTTACTGAGCTACCTGTGTAAGAAAACGGGACGACAGACTCCTAGAACAGATTTCATAAGCATGTATTTTGGGAAAACTCAAAAGCTGAGGGGAAGTCAATTTAGACTGCATTGCGGTATTCAAACTCTCCCCGTCTCCTCTTGTATCTCACGCGTTAACCTGTTTACGCTGGCACAGAGGAAACAAAGTCGTTTTGTTTTCAAGCAGCCGCGATTTCTGCCAAGATTCATCGCCGTGAAGACAAATCACATTCACTTGTTTAATTGCTATTTTCAGTTGAACGCGGATCGTGGGTTTTTCGCCCTTTCTCGCATTATTTGGAGATGCGGAACACTTCGGAAATCGTTCGACTGGTTTCGCGACTCCACGAGCCCTCTCAGTTCCCAGTTTCTATATTAATGAAATAATCGTCCCTCGCCTGCAAGATTGCCGCGCGCGGCTTAATGAGCTCCGGTGTTAATGAGCACGACTGCGCAGTTAATTAACACCAAGATCAGTTGATAAACGGCAGTAATTGTGTTGGTTGGAGAGAGAAAAAAAAAAAACAGAAAAAAAATGTTAAAGAGAATTACAGATGGAATTGGTAGGGAATGTCGGTGAGGGTATGATAGATCGAGGTGGGGAGGTTAGCCGAGGTGCTGTAATTATATTAGACTGAAGAAAGGCCAGATCACACATCGATTTCTGAACCAAGTCCCCTGTGAAGCGCGCAGCGGTTTCCTGGCGCGACTGTCTATGGCTGTGCAGACCTCACCAGTGTCTGGGTTTCTCAGTACTGTAGCTACATAACGACAGTGAGGCACGGAAAAGGCCATTTGAGGATTTTTTGCATCTACAAAACGGAATTTCAAAATCCAGATTCGCATATTATTTACATAACACGCGTTTTCCATCATCGCAGATGTGATGCGTTTTTATTTCCTAGACTGTGTGGTTATATTATTATTACTAATAGTAAATAAATAAATGATTCTGCTGAGGAGCGTGCTAGATTCTGCCCAATCAGAGTCATGTAGAAGAAGGCAGCCAATCAAAGTGAGAGAAAGCAGTGCAAGGGGCGGGGTTATGAGTAAAGCTGTAAAGTGACGTCATCCCCCCCCCCGTATTTTTCTAATGGAAGCAAAATTTCAGGCGATCGTTGTGCTTTTTCCCCACAAAGAACAAATCTTATTACGTAAGAGACCGAATGGGAAACTCTTATAACACAACGAGTGGTATTGCAAGGTGACGACTGATTTTAAAATCTCTTCTGTCTCACCTTAATGGTCAACCTCGCATGTTTCATCTCCCTGTGAAGTTACAGTTTTCACATGTTCATCTTCTCAGGACGTCCAATGTCCTCACGTGTATTTTTAAAAATAAAAATGCACCTTGCATTAATCCCGAGTCTGCCCATGTTGGCAATGGTCACGGTATGAAAGAACATCAATAAACAAATTTAGAGTAGAAAGCGGTACGAAATTTCATGGTTTGAAATTTGACTTCATGGAATTTCAGTCAGAGCTACAGAACGACACGACTCCTGCGCCCCCCCTGCTGGTGCGGCGGTGCAGGTGCGCAGCCCTGCGGCCGCTGGCTTCAGAGGTGTCAGCCAGGGGCTCATGGGGGGTTCTGCCCTTGTCCTCTCTGTGTGAACAGCGGGCGGCTCGTACTACATGATCTCGCGCTCCCTGGGGCCTGAGTTCGGGGGCGCCGTGGGGCTCTGCTTCTACCTGGGGACCACCTTCGCTGGGGCCATGTACATCCTGGGCTGTATCGAGATCCTGCTGGTGAGGCCTGCTTCTCTCCCCACTCCTCTAAGACACCCCTGTCTTCTCTCTCTGCCCTTCCCTGTCCTTTTCCCCTACCCTGTTTTCAGTTGTTTTTATATACCTCTCCCTCCTCTTGCCTTAATCCTTTCTTTCCCTCTCTTCTCTTCCTTCCCTCTCCTCCTCTGCAGCTTCTCTTCTTTCTGCTGTCTCTCTCGCTCGTCCCCTTTGTTTTTCTCCTCTCTTCTTCCAGCGCGCTCCCTGTCTCTCGTGCTCAGCTGCACGAGGGAGGGTAATTATGTTAATTCCGAATTAAAGAGCGAGGGAGAGAGACTGGGGAAAAACAGCATTTGGCTGGGGTAATGAGATGAGACCAGCTATAAATGTGCTTTGTTTGGATTTTATTAATGGTTTTAATTACAAACAGCAACATTTTTCTTGAGGAGTGAAAGCTCTTCACAGCCAGCCGAGCACAGACGTACCCCTAGCTGGTACAGGTCCTGGATTAGATCGTTTTTTTTGGGCGTGCATGGGACTGGCATGGATCTGGAAGGTGCCATCGGCTATTGACTCGCACCATGGTTCCCCAGGTGGGGAACATTATGTCCAGCATTGCCAGGGCTGGGTGACGTTGGTCACTTGTGTGGCTGTGCTGTGTTCCTGAGAGCTGCCTCAGCCTGCCATCTGGTGACACACAAGAGGCTGGACAGAAGCTTTCCTGAATGCAGAAAGGTTTAAGGCTTTAGCATTTATTCAGCTGTTTGTATACCAGTAACACACGGTAGCAGTAGGGGAATAATTATTCATACATATCAATGGCCTGTACATCACAATGTGCTGAGGGTCATGACTGTATTAACTAGTGAGGAGGTGCTGTGATTGCAGATAAGCTGTAAGGGATGAGTCCTTCTCCCCCAAAATTATTGGACTGTTGGCAGGAATTGCTTCAGATTTATAGCGCTTCTTAATACAGATGTCCAGTGACATCATCCATTGCAGTTATCAAACCCTCCCCCTTAGGAAAAGGAACAGCACGTTGACTCTTCTCTATATACAACATCTCTCTCCTCCCTGTCCCTTCTGTCCCTCCTCTACCTCTCTCTAACGGTGCCGCCCCTTCTTCCCACAGACCTACATCGTGCCCCAGGCAGCTGTGTTCAAGATGGAAGGTCTGGAGGGGACAGATGCAGAGGAGGCCCTGCTCAACAACATGCGGGTGTACGGCACCTGTGTGCTGTCCCTCATGGCGCTGGTGGTGTTCGTGGGGGTGAAGTACGTCAACAAGCTGGCCCTGGTCTTCCTGGCCTGCGTCATCCTCTCCATCCTCGCCGTGTACGCTGGCGTCATCAAGACCGCCTTTGACCCCCCGGAATTCCCGTGAGTGACCTCTCGGGCAGGGTTACAGTCTGAGCACTGGCACCGGGTCGGGATCAGTTTGAGCTGTTTCAGACTTTTGCAGACTCTTAGGTACTAACAAATAAGTAGGAAGTGCTGGGGATGTTCACTGTTTCAGTGCTTGTTTCCTTGCTTTTGCGTTGGATTAGCATATACTTAGCATATAGGATTAGCATATGATAAAGTCATTCGCAAACCAGGAGCTGCCACGTTTAGCAAAAACTACCAACATGCATGTATATCACTGCGCAGAAGTCTTGGACAGTCGACATTGTTCTGCTCTTTTCACTCAGTGTTGTTCTTCTTTACGTACAAACACAATTTGCATAAGTGATCATTTAGCCATTCCAGCTAAGAGCTGAACCTGCTAGAACTTTTAGGACAAATAAGAACCATTTTAGCTTTAAGGATGTGTAGAGAGGAACAAATTATGTAAATAACAATGAACCTGACAATGACTCATTTCGTATATATGAATGGTATATATGATGGCCTAGTGACTGAAGCACTTCATAGTGCCTTCTTTTTTTACAGTTTGTCTTGCATTGTTGTTATTTCTGAGTTTCAGAAGTGCCCTAGAAATTATTAATGTATTAATGTTTGCTGAATGTTTCTTCTCACCCAGGCTCATCTGCATTAATGACACGGTTGTTCTGATAGAAAACACTCGTGGAGCCTTTGAGTAAACTGATAACACTCCTGACATGCTCATCACAGGCTCCTGATGGTGACAGTGCAGTTTTCTGCTTCAGATGTTCAGCGATCTCCCTCTCATTTTTCTGCAGGATCTGCGTCCTAGGAAACCGCACGCTGATCACGAAGGGCTTTGATGTGTGTGCCAAGGTGATCGAGCGTGACAACGGCACCTTCACCACCAAGCTGTGGCAGATGTTCTGCGACTCGGACCTGCTCAACGCCACCTGCGACGACTACTTCGTCAACAACAACGTCACCGAGATCCAGGGCATCCCCGGGGTGGCCAGTGGCATCATCACAGGTGACCGTCCCCCACACAAGCTCAGTGCAGCCTGGGAAACCTGGGCCTGCAGCCCTCAACACAGGCCTGTGGTATGCCCACAGACCATCATCCCGTTCCCCCTCCCTCCATCTCCCTCCTTTCCCCGTCTCACTCTCTCTCTCTTTCTCTCTGTGGCAGAGAACCTGTGGAGCAACTACCTGGAGAAGGGGGTGATAATCGAGAAGGAGGGAGAGCCCTCTTTTGTGAACGAGGACGCGCCCATCACCATGACCAACCGCTACGTCCTGGCCGACATGACCAGTTTCTTCACCCTGCTGGTGGGAATCTACTTTCCCTCTGTCACAGGTGGGTGGGAGCCCGAGATGGAGAGGCCAGAGAGGCGAGCTGATCGTGAAACACGGGGAGTGATGGACCTCGTATTGCTGCATGATATGATGACACACACAGTGCTCTATGTCTTAGCTTCTGCGTCAGTACGAAATCATCTCAGAAAGTACCGCTGTCTTTTTCTCTCCAAATATCTCTGCTTGCTTTCTTTGTCCAGTACACGCCTGAAGAAGCTGCAGAGATAAAGTGTGATGTATCCTAATTTTTTTTTATTAATTCTCATCTTGGAATCGGTGTCTCCTTGTTCCTCACTGGGCAGAGAGATCCTGTCTGTGTGTGGCTCTGGGAGACTAGACTCCTTTCTGCCTACAATAAGGATGTAAGAGATATACGTGACATTTTCTGTTTTGATCCAGAAATCCTTTCATTTTGTCGCAAGCACATTTGCAGTGTTAATTTAATCCCTCGCTAGTCAAAGCTTTGTTAAAATCTTTATGAGACTTCTGCGTCCCAGGACACTTACTAGCCTCTTGTGGCCTATCACTCATCATCACTACCGTCAAAACATGCACACTCACACACGAACACGTTTCCATTTAAATCGCGTTTCTCTCTCCTCCTCGGAGCTATTCCAATCTCTCAGCTTTCTTTCTGCACTGGCACCACCACTGCGTAATTAATTTTTAATTACATTTTCGCTGTTGCTGCTGATGAAAGGTGGCAACAGTGAGGATCCATTAGATTAGCACCCTCTGAGGTGTCAGTGGGAAGTGAGAAATGGGCTAGGATTGGAATTGAGCAAGCAAACACACACACGCGCGCGCACACGTGCGCCGGCGTGCACGCACACACTAAAAAGCTGTCGGATACATCGGATCCTGTTCTAGGCGTCGGATACATGCGTGGGATTCTCCATTTGGACAAATGTCCTCACACACCGGCGAATACTCGTGCCGTCCTGCAAACCCACCGATGACTGAAGAAGACACACGCATATTCACACCCCCTCTTTAATAGTCACAAACAAGGTACCCTGATCCTGATGTCACAATAGAGGGGAAGGCCGGGCCCCACTGAGGGATGTTTGACACCCCCCTAGGACCCCCCTAGACACCCCATCCAGAAAATAAAGGAGTAAGACACGACGAGGCCCTCCTTGAAACGCAGGAAGAACTCCGTCGAGTCCTACCCCCCCCCTCTCCCCTGGAGATCCAGATCAAGACCACCCCTCCCTTCCGAAAATCAAATTAACCATGACAGGCCCCTCCCTCCCCCCCCCCCGCTCAGATGACGTACCGGCCAATGCGTGACGCAGCAGAGCAGCAGTCATCGATCCAGATGCACAAGGCCTCTGTGTGTTGGACCTGCAGGATGCGGGTAAAAAGAGCCGTGTAAGGGGCTGGAGCCTAGAGCCAGGCGGGTGGGAGGCAAATGGGCCACAAGGAGGCTTAGGTGCAGAAGGAAGATGGATGTTCCTCTGACCCCGGTGCGGTGTGTTTCAGGAATCATGGCTGGCTCCAACCGATCCGGTGATCTGCGAGATGCCCAGAAGTCCATCCC